AACCGAAGGAACAAAGCCCGTGAAGTGCCTGCATAACGTCTGCACGTGCCAAGGGTGGGAAGCTGCTCCTTTGCAGACACTTCTCCCTCTCAGTCTTACAGGGAAAGAAAGGACCTACATGATGCATCTGCATCAGTAAGTAAGACTTATGAGTCTTGGAGACTTAGGAGTGATGGAATGAATCTTTTGATGGCAGCAGTGCACTTGTCTTCCCGTCCATATGTCCACAGCATCCAGCCCTGACACAGACAAAAGCAATGACATCACAATCAGTGACATTAACGCCTGGGTGGAGCTGAAGATGAAGATCCAGCTAGCAATAGATGCAGAACTGACTTGTGATGTTGCTTGGTCCAAAAGTTGGTCTGCCTTTGGCACTTCCAGTCAGTTCCTGCCACTAGCTTGGAAAGATCCTCTGCTTCAGTTCTGGCTTGTTGAGAGTGCTGTTGCCTCTGGTACTAAAATGTGGAAGAATTGGAAAAAACACTCATATTTCAAGCCATAGGGAAAAAATACTGTGCACCCAAGGATTCACAGCTGACTTTGCGTGTTTGATGGAGTTGCTCTAGGATGATTTGCTCTGTGAGCGAAAGCCTGATTTGCTGGGAGAACAGAGCACCAGCAGAACATGGACGTGGGAGAATGTGGCTATCAGAGAACATGGACTCTTGTGTTGTACTCTTGAATGGATGCTCACAAAAAGAAAGCCACCAAATGCACCTACTTCTGCAAAAGGAATGAAAAAGAACAAATAATCAATCTACATTTTCAAAAAATCCACTGAAAAAATGCCTTGGCATGAACTAGATCTTATGATCTGTGGAAAGCTTTTGTCTTCTGTGCTGGTCAGTCATCTAGCCATGGCATTTTAAGCTTTTAAAAGATTGAACAACTTTTACATATTTTAAGCTTCATTTACTTGATGCTTGGAGCATGCTTCATTCCAGAGAGACTGTGCTGCAGGTTTGTCATTCCCTTTCAAAGCATGTCGGACCTGCAGCAAGCACAGTCAGAATTGTGCCTGGCTTAATGTTTTTCCAAACCCTTTGTCCACCCTTAACCAGTACTCTCCACCATCAGACAACTGTTTGGCTTGAATGATTGCATTTCTGTGGAATTCTTATTTTTCAGAAAAAGATTGCTAAAAAGTATGGTAGAGTTCATGCAGATTTATTGTGAAAATGGCCAGGTGAAAAATGTACAATAAGATTTAGCGAAAAAAAAGTCATTCCCGTTGCCAGCAGTTTTGTCTTATCAGCTGGGACTTTGCAACAAGCCTACCTGATTGATAAAGGAGGGAAAAAAGCAAAAGCAGAGACTTCTGCTGGAAGTTGAGGCTTTACTGTAACAAGGTGGCCCCAGCAGAGCCTCAGTAGATGTAGGCTCAGTGGTGTCTACAAGCAGACATCATTCTACTTTCTTCCCTCGTTTTCTAAAACATTCTCTTAAATGTTGATTCATTTATGAATCTCACTGATGATTTTCTGTTTCTCAGCAAATTATTCATTAAAATTGCAACTGAAATGTCTGATTTAATCAGAAACCATTTATAAATGGAAAACTTTGAGGATAGCATACATTCTAGGAAGTTTAGTGGTGTTAACTAAATGATGGAAGGGGAAATTTTCTCATTAGGAACAGTTAGCAGTGGAACAATTTGGTGTTATGCAAAATAGCAGTAATGATGTGCAGAAGTTTGGGCCTTACATGAGGTAAGCTGTTGGAGTTCCAAACTGCCTACTAGTTCCTACTGCCTGGAGCTGGGACTCAGGGTGGTACCACAGGACTCAAGGCCAGCCACAAAACCAGGGCCTGCAAAGGGTGCTTTCCGTGCTCAGTGCCTCTTTCTCCCCACATTCCAGGGTACACTTGGGAACCAGGGAATTCAGCTGCAGTTTTAGGATCTCAGTACTTGGGGGGAAATGCAGTGAGACATGCCACATTCTTTTCTGGATGGGAATTGGCTGGACTTCCCAAAAAAACAGTAGTAACAGGTTGCTGCTGTAGTCAGCTGTGTCCTAACATGGCAGGAGAGGGGAAACCTCCCTTACTTTGCTTATGGTGGATTATTTGAGGAGGTGAAGTGTTTCTGCAAGGAAGAGCTTATCTTACCTTTTCTGACTTTGTCCTGCTTCCAGAGTCACAAAGGAATGACAAAAGTTATACACCAGAAGCTGCTTTAGACAGCTACAGAAGAGCGAAATGTCCTTACCAGCTTGAGGAGGAGAAGAGCATGGAAGAGTTTGGGTTTGGATGGGACCTTGATGTGTCATCAAGCCCCAATCTCTTTTCACCCCAGAACAGATCAGGTCAACCCAGATGTGCCTCATTGTGCTATGACATAAAAATCAGTTGTTCCACAAGAAACAGTTGCTTATATCTCCCTCTGGTCAGTGATGGGTTTGCAGATGATGTGGACTTTGTTTTTTTTCAGGTGTGACCAGTCCCAGACTTGGAGCTGCAAACACTGATTCGCTCTCTAGTTTGCCATTGTTGGTGTTAGTTTATTCTGCTGATGTTCACTGGCAGCAGAGCTGGGGAGTAGATCTGCCCAGGCACGTTCAGAGCATGCAGGCTGTCACAGGAAAGGCTGCTGGTGCTTCATATTGAATTTATTACAGAAGCTGTGTACCAACAGTGAGATTTTTTAGGTTTTCTTATTTATTTCTTCAGACCAGACATATTACCTTAAGGTATTTACTCTGCATGTGTAGAAATCTTAGACTCACCTTGGAATATTTTCATTTCTTCAGGGGTTTGTTTTTTAAGTAAAAATCTGGTGGTTTGAGGAGAAGCACACCTTGTTATATATTTTGCCTGTAACACTGAATGCCCACACGGTGTACCAGGCAAAGGGCATATCCTGTCAATGCTGACAGGCCACGTCTAGCCCTTTTCTTCTTCACGTTGCTACAGTTGTCTTTTTCCATTAAAATCAAACATGGACTGAGCAGCCACATGCTAAGAATCCCTAAGTGGTATTTAAATAGATGCATATCATGACTGAGGCAAGCATCACGAGAGACCTCACTCCACACCAGCATTCAGCACGTTAGCAAGATGTGGGATGGGTACTGCCAGAGGCCCCAGTTCTCCCCTCCACCCGCGGGGGCAAGCGGCACCTTCAGTGGCTGGGAGAAGGGGTTAGAAGCAGAAGGAAACAGACTGCTCCAACATTGTCTTGTAGTGGAGTTAAATGTCTGCCTGGAAGTGTTTCTGACTCTTCATTAGTTAATGAAGTTTGGAAGTTTCTCATGAAGGTGGTCAGTGTTGTGGGATGCACAGATAACTGTGAATACCCACCCCTTCTTATATGTTGGGTGTTTAAGCTGGTTGTGTCTAATCTGTCAGCATCAGCACGTGTTCAGTGGCCAGCTGTGGTACCAGAGTTCCTACTCAATGTGGAGATAATGAAAGAGTCTGTAAAACATTTCCAGGATAAACATTTTCCATTTTTGTCTTTTGCTGTTTGAGAAAGCCAAAGTGCAGTCTTTAAACCTTTTCTTGCTGTATCCTAATGTTTCAAAAGGACTTGTAATTTTGGATCTTGGAAACAATTTAAAGGCAGCTGATTTTCAGTGGCTGGGAGTGCTGCACTTCCTGACTAATCAGACTCTTTTGACATGTCTTAAATTGGGCACTGAAATAATGGGTTGACAAGTGCAAGTAGTTGACTTGGGACAGTTCTGTGGGGGTTTAGGCAAAGATGCTTTAACACAGGGCTCTGATGTGCTCTGAGTGTGCCCACAGTGAGTTATCACTGCTGAGCAGACAAGAGGTAACTGATTAAGGCACAGTAAGTCAATCATGTGATCCATTACCCCGTGCTCCAGATGACTAGCCGTTTTTTAAAAAGTGTAGGCCTGTTCTATTGCAGCATCAAAAGAGTCTCCTGCTGGCACTGAGAAAGGCTGGCGTAATAAAACATTTCTTCCAAATATGACAAAATGCAGTATTTGGAATTTCCATGCTTGATCCAAGTGCTGGAAGATTCAACAACAGTCTGGAGACTCTAATGACATTAAATGAAGTCTTTCCTCCCATGTAAGTTGGTGACTCTACAGCTGCTTTGTAGCGTAGACCAACTATGCTGGGTAAAATAGGCAAAGAGAAGTGGGTGCAGCAGCTGTATTTGCGTGCTGAGGGAATGGGCATGGTTCTTCTGAATTTCCTGGCTTGTGTGAGGCTTTTTTGTTCTTCTTTTTCAATTCTGCAGGCAGACGACCATCTGTCCTGGCAGAATAAGCAGCATAAGTCCTGGCCTAGCTACTACCACTAAAGCTGTAGCCAAACCAAAACCCATCTAAACGCTGAATTCTCAGAGAGAAAAGAAATCTCACTAGTTTCCAAGTTTTATTTTCTTTCCTTTGGAAGTATTTTTGCAAAGCTGAAAAGGGAGAGTTCTTTACTCTATTACTTGAACAATGCTTTGAAGTCTGGTCCTTTGCCAAAAGCCTATTGACAGTAACATGACTGTTGTTGGTGCTCACTGGCATCATGTATTACTTGGGGATCTTTAAAAGCTCTCTAAACAGCTTACCAAGACTTCATTAACATTTGATTTCTATATGAGTGAGGAAGAAATTATTACTGTGTCTTGTTAATGGATGGCTAAGCAGCAGTAAGCAAGTTCAGTGATTTACCTGCCTCTTAGGGCACACTCCCCAGTCCTGGTAGAGACCCCAAGAGTCTGATAAAGAAGTCATCTCTTTCTTTCTAACAATCAATCTGACATCACCTTATGTTGCCACCATTTCCGTATCTTCTCCTGGTTCATTAGTGTCTTTCTGGGAAAAATGAGATGATTAATAACCTCAGAGTTTCATTTCACAGCTATTTCCTGTAGATGCAAATCAACAACACCCTTTTCCCTGTGGTTTATAGTTATTCCTTTCTTTTTATCTTTTCCCCTCCACTTTTAAATGGAAAGGTTTATCCGAGACTTCTCATTCTCTCACTAGTAGCCATGGCAAAACCCTTTGTTTTCTTCTTGTCCTCAGGAAACCCGCTGACTGTGGCCTGCAAAGCTTTCTTTGGATTCAGTGGAGAATCTGGCCCCATGATCTACTGGATGAAAGGGGAAAAATTCATTGAAGAATTAGAAGGCCACATTAGAGAAGGCGAAGTCAGGTACTTTTTGGAGTATTTCCTGTTAAAAACATGGCATGTCCCAAAAGCCCGTTGGGTTTTTTTAAACAGCTTTTTAATTGGAAGTGGAAATAGTTTCCTGTCTAAAGAGTGATGAATGACTTGGAACCAGGGCTGTGTGAATTTCTCCCTCTCCTTTCTAGCAAATAAACGCTAAAGACATAGTAGCTATCTGTGTGCCTGGAAATCTGTTATCAAATTCCCCTGATGGTAGCTGAAGTGTCTCTTGAGTGTTCTGGGGGTTGATTTTAGCCCTGTGTGGAAATGATGCTGACCGTTGCAGCTGCCCCTTGTGGCAGTCCTTGGCAGGACGACGTTCATTTCAGCATCCCTTTTAATCTTAAAGATGAATGGTCTCCTGTCAAAGTCACCGGACTTTTTTTCTTCTACTGAATGTGTTTTCTGCCTGTGATACAGCTCTCAGTATGCATTAACCAGGGCTTTCAAAGAGCAGCGTTTGTTCCTCCATGCTTAACACTTACGGGAGAGAAGGAATTAACTCTGTGATGTCCAGTATCCAACTCATGCTTGGTTTGTTCCAAATGCTGGTTATCATTTGTTATACTGCTTGTAGTGAAAGCAAACATTGGTATCCTCATAGACTTTCACGGAATTTGCACCTAACAGCAGGTTTTTGTCTTCCTTGTTTAATAATTACCTGATTCGTAGTTTTTTGAGCAAAGACTAGGCTATGGCTATACTATGGACAACGTGGTCCCAGCTCCTGTAGTCACAATGAAATGTAGAATACAAAGAAAGCCAAGTTCTTTGTACCTTCCACTGCACATTATTTTGGTCCCATTTCTGAAACATTTGTTTCTTATAAAAGTGGTTTTAGAGAGCAGGCAGAGAGAAGGATTTTGTTGCTTTATTACTTGATCAATAATTCAAAGTTCAGCCATTTAGCCACTAGTTATTAGGCCATACTAAAATAAGTGACCTAACATTGCACCTTAATTGCATACAGATGAAATTTATCATGTATTGCCAGAATGGTTTTAAGTGAACAATCCTCATTTGGGCTTCTGACCACAAAATACAATTATTGGAAACTTCTGCCATTGCACGTAATCAGCATTTAATGACATTGTGTGCTCTCTGCTGTATATATATGAACAGAGTGATTTTAGTCATGTTCTTCCTTCCCACCAGAAGGACAATTTGAGGTTTGTATTTAAAGAGCTCTCTAGCTCTAGCACAGTTCAAAACTTGTCCTTTATGTGCATTTGTTAGTGGAACTGAGTTTGAACAGCTCTATTTGTCCTTCATTGTGCCATCTCATTACACAGTTGTGTTTCAAACCATTCTCGTGACAACTCCCTTCCTCACTCCATTAAGATGCTTTGACTCAGTTTACAGACCCCTCACAATTCAGTGAATCCTCTCTTTGACAAAGCTGCTTATCACATACCTAATCTCCTGTGCACCACAGCCAGCATTAAAACCAGCATTTACCAAAACCTACTGCATCACTACCAGCAGTGCCACGGTCCATCCCTTTTTTCATTTAGAAGTAGCTATGGCAACTGCAGTAGTAACTTTTTGCAAATGATTTTTTTCACAGTAACAGCTCTTGTTTATGTGTCCCATTACAGATATGCTGCTTCAGGGAAACTAAGCAGCAGTAACTGTTCTGTCAGTGCCCTGAGCCAGCACACATCTTCTACCCAGTTGTATTTATTGATGTATTTCAAAAAATGTCATGTATGTTCCAAATTTGATGAGCCATAGTGAACTTGCTGGGTAGATGCTGTTCCCATCAGTTTCCTTCTATATTTCCTTCTATCAGCACATTTCTATTAATGTTGAGAAACTACAAATAATTGGGAATTGTTACAACCAGACCAAGATAATCCATGGGTTGTTCCTTTGGCAAGTGTCTAATATGTTAACTCTGCATACCATATCTTCAATTAGTTTGCAGGTTCAGTAACACTCTGAATTTTTGGTGCCATCCTTACCCTGGACTGCACCCATCCATTTTGTCACTGGGTTTGCTGTATATGATGAGAGTTCAGGTTTGCAGACTGATGCAGCGTGGGAGTACAGAACATCCATCCCTAGTCTGCATCCTCCAGTGTGCATAGTTACCAATTAGTGTGCTGTTATGAAAGCACTGAAATGAGGATGCATGTGACTTGAGATTATCTGTTAAAATCAAACCTGTGGAACTCTTTTTTTGGTAAGCAGACTTCATCATGAGTAATATATGTATAGCTCTGGGCTGCTCATTATTTATTAGGCCTTGTTACAGAGCCTCATAATAAAAAGTAATTAATCAGCATTGCAGGACTTAGAGGCAATGACCCCCTCTCTAACCTCTCTCTGCAAACTGCCTCCTTGCCTTCCCTTGAATTAAGATCCCCAATAGTTAGTCATGCATAGGAGGAAAGGAGAAAGAGTCTTTGCTTGCAGGTGGGTTTTTCACAGCAGCAATAAAAATGTCATGTAAATTGAACCGGGGCTATTAAAGAAGGAATACGAGTCTTTAAGCCTGCCTGCAGAGTTTTTAGTTGTACCTAATTATCAAAGGAGCCCACAGCAAATTTCAACACTGTCTCTGCCATGGCAAAGAAGTATTTTCAGGCATAAATCTTAGACTCCCAGCCACCTATGAGTTGCTGCTTTATCTTCTTCAGGCAACACTGTAGAAAAGTTTGCAGGTGCCTCATAATGCTCAACTTACAAAGCATGTTTGTCCTTTCCCCCCCCCTTCTTCATTTTTAAAGGGAAAATACTTTATCTCATTCTAGAGACATGAAAAGAAGTGAACAGAGACATTGTGAACTGCAGCCTTATTTCGTCCTGCTGATTAATTTAACATTCTGCCTTTTCACCCACAGAAGTCACCTGATGGTTGCAGAATGCTCAGACGAGATGAGGATGTTGTATTCTGTTAGGAGGGGGTGTAAGGGAGGGAGAGAGGGAGGGAGGCAGAATTATCATCAATGCTTGGCTAATATACTGGGTACTTGGCAGAGAAGTATGGAAATGACAGCTCTCTCCTGAAAAGCTTACACTACTCAAGTAGCCAATTTCTGGGCAGAAAATTAGAAACATGGTGCAGGAAAGTGAGGTGGAAGATCATCATGCCATGTTCTTAGTTGGACTACTTTTCTTTGGAGAGGTACTTATGCACACACATCTGTCCTCTCATCTACAGACTATTGTTCAGGATGAGAAAGAAGGGACTAGGGTTCAGTATCTTTGTTCACAGTCCACATCATCAACTATATAAAGAATAAAAGGTTCCTTTTTGATAAGTCCCAACTTGCATGCAGGTCAGTAAAAGCATTGGAATTAATGCCCTAGTCTTGCAAAAAGACCCAGCTGAAGTTTTCTTATGGCCCTTACATCCATGATCATACAAAGCCTGAAAACTTTAGGAAAATGTGGTTTCAAAGGAAAACTGTTATAACTTCAGATTCAAGTGAGTACATAAATGCATTGGAAAAATATGACAAAAAGATTTGGAAAACCTGGAACATTGGATCTTCTTCAAAGAAAACATTTGTATTCTGAAATGACACTTTTTAATGCATATTTTCTTAACTGAAAAATAACCAGTAGACAAAATATTTAGATCAAAAAAAATGCTTCAGCTTGAACAAAAAGAAAGCACTGGGTAGTTTTTTACTTCACCCACCTCTTCTCTCCCTCCTGCCCTTCTGTCTGTTCTGAGTTCTCATGCACCATTAATTTACCTATGTATTAAATGATGTAAATTCCTATGGTTTCTGCATCAAACCAGAAAAAGGAGCCATTATTTCCTCAACTTGTGGGAGCTGGAATGTGTTGCTGGCACTTTCCCCTAACTCAGGGACACAGCTTCATCTTCTGGGTGTGCAACAAATACTGTTGCAGCTTTAAGGTCTTACTTCTTGCTGTCTGTGTTCCTTTTCTTTTCACAGACTAATTGTTTTCTGAACCAAGTACAAAATGCAATCAATTAAAGGCTGCACATGTATTAAAAAAATGTAGGTGCCAATTGTATATTTTGTGGCAATAATGAATCATTAGCTGTAGTGTACTGGTTAAAAGAAAAAGAGGAAAAAAACAAGCAGTAATGAGAGGTTTAACACCACTAAGAGCTTTCTACACTTTGCTATCAGCATAATATTTAAGTGTCTGTCAGCATTTTCTGATAGATCCTGTTCTAAAGAGTTCTCTTCCTAAAGACTGAAATTTGCATGAAAATAGGTGAAAGAAAATTCTCAGGCCAAATGCATATTTTTTTAAATGAAAGCTCCTTTTTAGCTGATCATGTATTATTTAAATGTAGGTTAAAGGTTGATTATTTTTTTAAAATAGATTTGGAATAATAGTTTATTTTATCTTAATTGTAATCTGCCTTCATTTTTTTTCTGCATAAAATATGTTGATTGTGGTAAACAGAAGACAATCTGAACATTCACAGAATGCTGAATAAAATGACTTTATTTTCTCCTTGCAGCATGATTTATAGGCCAAAAATTGTGAAGTATATTATTTACCAACAGCAAAAAAAGTCTTTCCTCACTTTAAAGGATTTATTTATATATATA